ACAACCTAACCTATCTTCTTCATTTACCCTAATCTACTATTCATCGTCTCACTGATTCTAACACAAACCAGAGTTACCGCGACAGTTGCTGCGGGAAGAGAGAGAGAGAGAGAGAGAAAGAGAGAGAGAGAGAGAGAGAGAGAAGCAGGAAGAGAGGGAATGAGAGAGGGAGTAAAAGCGATAGAGAGTGGCGTTCTTCTTGGAGTCGCACTTCCTCCCTGAGAAACACGAAAATGACTAGGGTTTTTGGGTTTGTGGTTAGTGAGGGATAGTGCACATCATTTACAAAATATTGGAAGGGTAGTTTTGATTATGCACCAGCTCTGAAATGCGTCTGAGCACGTTAAGAGCCAACCCAAGGTCTAAGGTTTTCAGATCTGAAAACAATATTCAGATAAAGTTTAAGAGGTAAAACCAAACAAGTGTGAGAATCTGAAAAATAGCATTTTCAGATTCAGACCTCTAAAAAGTGCAATCAAACACCACCTTAGTCTTGGAATCAACCCCAATAAGTCACCAAACTGAAATCTTAAGGCTGTGTTTGATGACTTGAAAGAAAGAAAAGGTAGGGTTGTACAGGTTTCCCTCCTTCACCTCTTTTTTTTTTTTTTTTCAAACCAAACAAAACATAGCCTAAATTTATTTTGGGGACCCATCCGTCCACCCATATTTTAAGTCCTCATTATGAAGTAGAGGAATAACGGACCTATGAGATATACCATATAACCAGCAACCTACATAAAATTTAATTGCTTATTATACCTTATACAAAAAGTAGGAAAGGACAATTTCTTGAAATCAATGCTGTCTAACCAATCCAATATATAGCATTATTTCTCAGCATTAAAAATTTTCCCTTTAGGCCCCATTTGTTTTTCGGTAAGTTATTTACCCGGGTAAATGCAGCTACCTGGGTAAGTTTTTTCTGGAAAATACTTACCTGGGTAAGTGCATTTACCCATGTTCTTTTATTTCTCATGTAAATAAGGCAATGACCATTTTAGCCAAAAAAATCTATTATTAATAAAGACATTTTTGTCCCATTCAAGTGTTGGCAAAGTTATTTACCCACCTAGGAGATGGGTATCACTTACCCAGGTTAATAATATCTACGAAAATAAACTTTCCCTGATCCCCACATAAATCTGAAAAAAGAACATGGGATTCTTGGTCAATGGGAACCAAAATCCCATTGACCAACTTCCCCCCCTCTCAAAATCCTAAAAAAGAATGCCCTCTAAAGCAAATAGTACACTAGTTACCATCTCTGTTATTAGTACAACAATTGATTCTCCTCTTGAATTTATGCTACAACTTTGCCTGAAAATCAAGTAGCACATATCTACTATCATTTATAATGTTTTCCCAATTATCATCTCTACATTCTCCCCTCTGAAACTTAACCATTTTTGCTTCACCTTTTATAGTATGAATAATTATATAAAAAATTAGTATTAAATTAAAAAAAAGAATTAAATAAATATTAGGCACTCCATGTGACTTGTATAGAAGCAATAATACACAAAAGTTGGGAATTGGGTCAGGTCAAAATCAAATTGATAGAATATTTGGGTTGAGATGCCATTTAAGTAAAATTGAGAAGGAAGGTGCCAAATAACAATCCCATGTACCCAGTTAGTTACAAACAGAAGGAACAGGTATTTCTGGCGGAGCTCGGAGATCAGTCCAAAGCATGCAAAGCCGAAGGCTCTGTGGTTTGTTACAAAGGAAGAGAGGTGGTGAATAGAAGAAAAAGAAAGCTTTCATGATGGCCGGAATTGCTGCATGGGTTTTCTTTCTTTCTTCTTTCTTTTACTGTTTAAATAATGGACGGAATTGCTTTTTGTCTCGCTTATTTTATTTGTTCCAAGGACATGCCCGTGACCTGGCTTTTGTTTGCAGCGGATGTCCCATAAGAACGTGATTGCACATGAATGAGAGAATGAGAGAACCGATTGGACCTCCTTCAATTCCTCATCAGTCATCACATCACCACTCAAGGCCCTAAAGGTTTTATTCTCTCCACTCTCGAGCTTGAACCAAGGGGTAGCTGGAGGTCTATAATTAACAAACGAAAGATATCGATGTCGACAGAGCAAGGTCCCCTCGAGATAGCGGTAAAGGAATTAAGGAAGTCACATATGTGGAGTAACCTAGATTTAGAGGGCCCGTTTGGCAAGTATTTTGAGAAGATAGACACATTGAGCTTTTGATATAAAACCTGAACAATTTGTAGACAATTTGGTAAATATGATTATTCATGGATATGTTGGAAGACAATATCTGTATGCACGAGTATGCACATTACTGATCTGGGATACTTACTGCATGTTTGACACTTGACCCATCACGGTTGGATCACAATGGTCCAAATGACAGTGGATCCAGGTCTTGTGGGTCCCACCCACATTAATCCATATCAAATCACAGACCACAAAAAAAAAAAAAAAAAAGAAAACTCAGTGGTTCACATTAATCCATACGTAACACAACAAATTTGACTAGCAAGAAAATAGAATTGATCTGAGATGGACCTATGCAAATAACAATCGATGAAACAAAAAAACCTCTAACAATACATATTGGGATGTGAGTTTACGCAAACCACCAACCAAATGATGAACGACCACTGCCGTGAGACAAACCAGCACCCAGTAATTTGTAATCTCCAGTAAAAGAAGGGGAAAAAGTAATTGCGGTGGAGACGACCATGGAAGAGAGACGAAGAAGGGGAGATAAAGGATGACATTAGCGGAGTAGGAGGAAGTGGAAAAGCGAACCTGAAAGAGATGCGTGTGTAAATGAGGTTTTTTTTGTTGGGGGGAGTTGCTATTATTCATAAAATTCGCGTGTGAGCGTCAAGCACACCTATGGTGAAGCTCCCAGGGGGCATAAAGGCCTGAAAATTACATCTATAGCTTCTCAAAATAAATTTTTTTATGTTTTTTCAGTGCTCCATCTTTTAGCATTTAGATCTTCTGCAAATCAAATAAGAATAGACCAAAAATGGATCTTTCGGATTTTTAAACAGACAGAAAATCGTATAAAAACACATGCCAAACGGATCCCTACTCTTTTCCCATCGGCTTTCAATGAACCAAAGCAAAACAAACACTTACTGTGCAACCATAATTTCAGAGGCCATCTGGGGCGTTGTTCCATTTTAACTCTTTTCCGTACAGGCAGTTGTTGGTCAATGTGAAGCGGGAACGATGATTAGTAGTCATAGTAGATTAATAGGGGGGACGTCTTCCTCTGACATTTTCTTGTTTTTGACTTCTTTCCAGAATGCCTTTCCTTTTTTTTTTTTTAATGTCGTACGCTTGTGACTTGCCAACTATCACTGGTGGTTCTCATCCTTCTGAGAAATTGGACGACCGCAGCCATCCTTTAAGAGATCTGCTTCCCATCTGGTGGGGTCATCCTGATGATGCTGGTCCCGCTAGGACAGCGAAGACAGAATAACACACGCTCCCATCCCACCCCACCAGCTCTCTTGGTCTTGGTCCCCCCCACCCTGCTGCTCGGTTTCTAACTTACGCCCATTGCGTGTTTTAGCAAATTCATAAGTGGTAGGAACCTCGGTATTCTCCATCTAGGACCTCAACCACACTACTCGCGAGTCCGGACTGTGGAGATGCTCTCAATACAGGCGGGATGTGGGTGTGAGGAGGAGATTCCGATCTGCTGCACTTATAAAAGTAAAAGAAAATAATCCACAYCGTCACATGAACCCCATCAGTGGAAGAAAGCAATTATTATACTGTCTGACCCATGGTTTTAAAAAATGAACCGTTTAGGGGTCCGATTATTGATTTGAACGGTCCGATCGTTTGATCTGAATGATCGGCCTATTTTGACAAAAAATAAAAAATTAAAAAAAAATTATAAATTTGAAAAACAGTCAAAACTATTTGAACAGTTTGAATAATTAATCAGCCAGTTCAGCAGTTTATCGACCAAAATCAACAGTTTTAAGGGAAAAAACGGTTTTAGARGAAAACAAAATCGGTCAAGTAACAGGTTCTCGGTTTTTCCAGTTCAACCATCCAATCGAGTCCAGTTTTGAAAACARTGGTCTGACCCTCCAAAAAGAATCCGATTAATCTGTGGTTGTGATTTGTCTGGATGATTGGAAAGTTCTGATCCATGACGAAACAGTCAAACAAATAGGGTTGGTAGGGCGGGTGCATAAGGTGTATTTTAGCATACGGAACCAACATATCATTGGTGGAGTCTCAGAACAATGAGCTGGCATCATTTTGTAATTGGAAAGTTTTGCTCTTTCTTTCCAGAAATTCCACTGCTACCCTTTTCTCTTAATTCATCTCATCACCTTCTGGGTCCCCTTCTAGGCCCATTTACCGGTTACCAGAGAGACGGGATCTGTTCCTCACATTTGGGCGCCTCACATACACATCTACTGTGCATTAGAAACATCTCCCTTGAATAATAACTTAAAAATACGGAAGATATTCCTAATACATGGTAGAATGTGCGTATGAAGCGCCCTCTGTGAGAAGCAGATCCGGTCTCATTACTACATCGATGCCACTGTCTACATCAATAGCATGTAAAGTTAGTTGTGTGGTTAAACAGGCCCCCAATTGTTATTTTCAGAGTCTTTCAAGTATGACAACTGTGGGAGACTCCGGATCACCCGTCAATAAAATAGGTTCCAACCCTTTACCAACATCATCTTACATCGCAGATTTCGTACATAGCAAGTTCCAGTATTATGGTGAGTGTGCGGTGTTAGTAGAGGGTTGAAACGTATTTTGTTGACAAAAAATCTCAACACATTGTGGAACGGGAACCCCTTTCAAGGCCGTTAAATATTTAAAATACGTCACATTAGCAAGTCGTGACCCCTGCCGACGGCCCAAGGTTTTGGCATCCAATGGGCCCACTGGCCCAGTAAGCACCGAAAAGGCGGGAATAGGATACATTTGCATATTCTATAAAAGACGAGGGCATTCCTGTTACTGCAGATGAAGCTGTGGCCTGTGGGGCTTCCTTTGCTCAAGCAGTATGCAGTATGGGGTTTATCAGTGTTTATTACACTAATAAATATGTATTTTTTTTCTTTGTTTTCTTTTTATTTTAGCTTTGTTCCAAGGATGCATGATTTCCGATTCCAGTGCATTCATTCCCACTAGTCACCGCATCTTCTCTGTGCTTCTGAGACTTAGAACTTGCGATTTTGTATCTTCTTTATCAGAGGATTTGGCCTGGGATTGCTAAATCTTTTCATTGTTTCTTGGTTTTCCTGGGCGAAATTTCAGGCGGAAGAAGTTTGTAGGGAAGACACGGTTTGGAATTATTCGATCCTTGTTGTTGTTCATGTCCAGTGGTTGAAAATGCAGAGGAATTGAGGTTGCCTGGATTCTGTTCAGCGTGACGGATTGAAAGATTTCAGTTCGAGAAAGGAGTAGGACAGTGTTTAACGCCTGGGAAATGAGCTTCTTTCCGAAGTTTTTAGGGTTTTCTTTGTATTCCGGCGTGTTCTTTGGCGGGTGTTGTTCCAGAAATCTTATCATGCAGCAAGGAATTTCGAGTGGAATATCAAGTGTTGCAGAGGATTTAGGAGTTCGTCGTCTTCTCAGCTGACTTCTTTTTGGAGGATTCCATCTCGAGGAGAGCTTAAGCGTAGCTATAGCTGAAGACTTGAAGTTCACTTGGAGCTTTTTAGCTGTTTTCTAGTGAAATCTGTTTATTGTTTCACGAAGATCAGGTATTTTAACTGAATTACAGTCTCTGCTTTTCTTCCCTGGCCTGTTCTCTGATGGCTGTGTCGATGAACTGCGAAAAATTTCCAGTGAAATTGGGAGAAATTTCAGAAAATGAGATTGACCTTTCTCTGGTTTGAAGAATATTGCATTATTTGAGCTGTAGAGAAATGCCGAGGAGTCGGAATTTTTGTTTCAAAATTACGTACAAAAAAGTTGATCTAAATTTCAAGGTTGTAAGTTGAAACGGCTTAAAAGGCTTCAAAGTCGTTAAATTGTTGCTTGGAAGAACTCTTTGCTTTAGCAAGTTGCCGTTGGTTAACTTGGTTTCATTTACAGTGTTCCTTAAACGTGATATGATCTGATATCCTTTGTGGAGTTTGAAGTGTTAGTAGACTAATTTACAAGCTTCTTAAGATTTCTTGCTGCACGTCGGAGAAAACCTCTGACTCATTTTATATTTAGTAACGGGTAAGTTGTAACCTCTGGGAATCTGTTTAAGGAGTTTGATAGTTTTAGCTTTGATTATCTCAGTATTACGGAGCATTGATGGGGCTTCTTGGAAGTCTCTCAATGCTTCTCCCGTTATTGCTGTGGGTTCTATGGATGCCGGCAGTCAGAGCTCAATTGCCTGGAGATAAGGAAAGATCTGCACGCTCTCTAGATGCGCTTCTACAAGACTACGCTTTCCGTGCTTTTCCCTCTGTTCATCCACGAACAGGCACACTTTATGCCGGGGAACCGCCTTCTAATTTAACAGGGATTAAGATTTCAGCAATGCGGCTGAGGAGTGGTAGCTTAAGGACCAGAGGTGTTAAGAGCTACTGGGAATTTGAGATGCCCAAGGGAGTTGTCGTGCAACCATATGTAGAGAGGCTTGTTCTGGTTTACCAAAACCTGGGAAAATGGTCTTTTTTCTATTATCCAATACCTGGCTACACATATCTGACTCCCATAGTGGGTCTCCTTGCATATGATGCTTTCAATTTATCATCGACAAACTTGCCTGAATTGGACATAACAGCACCAATTAACCCCATCTCAATTAAGTTTTCAGGTGTACAATCAGCCCCAAGTGGGTTGAGTGCAAAATGCATTTGGTTTGATTTGGAGGGTGTGATGAAGTTCAGCAATATAACATCGGACAATATCTGTTCAGCAACCAAACAGGGTCATTTCTCAATTGTGGCTGAATACACTGCTGCACCTTCTCCCTCACCGGTGTCTCCTCAGATTAATGGAGGGCCAAATGAGGGTCCAAGTCTGGGTGGTGGTGAGTCAAAGGTGTGGAAGATAGTAGGGTCTGTGCTTGGTGGGTTTGTTTTATTGGTACTATTGTCTTTACTGGTGTTGTGGGTACAGAGGTACAAGCACCAAAAGAAGATGCAACAGATGGAGAAAGCATCTGAGGTGGGTGAAGCCTTGCATATTGCCTCAATCGGGAATACAAGAGCACCTATGGCCCTGGGGACACGAACACAACCAGTCCTGGAGAATGAATATGTGCCTTAATTTTGTCCATTTGTACAAGCTATATCCACTATTCACATTCAGTTCATGCATTCAGATATTCTTCTCATCCATTCTTTCTGTTTGTTTCTATTCTTCTCTCCTTTCTCATTTTTTTTTTCATTTTAATGTATGCCTCCTTGTTGTTGCATAGAGTAATAGTAATACCAGATTTTTATTATGACTTTTTAATTTTATTCACATATATATGCTTAACACTGTGTACACAAATTAAAATTAAATCTGCACATAGAGGTATTTGAATGTAGCAGAACCATCTTCTTCGCTTAGTTGATCTATGAGATATCATTTTTGATGATTAACATGTTGTAATGTTTATATATTTTAGGGTGCCATATATAGAGTTTTCTACTACTACAGTTGGGCTGCATGAATTAGCTAAGCTAGCTTGCAGCCTGGACTGACTTCAACCTGTTTGGCTAGGTCAAGAATGAGAAGGGATACAGTGCAGAATGCAAGTAGATACTGACTGTCAAATTTGATCAGCCATTGATTGGATTAAATACTTTTTTTTCTGGTAAAAAATTGGATTGGATACCAAATATCAACATATATTCTCATGGCTTTTACTGGTAAAAAATTTCTCATGGTTTTATTGGTCATTTCAATGTTATCATTCAAATGCATGTGGCTTGATCAATATGTATTATTGTCACATAAGATAAAGTAATTCCATGAAGCTCCAATAAATCAGTGTGGTGACTTGAGACCTGAAACTAGTTGTTTTTCTTGTCTAATATTTTTCTTTGTTTCTTTTGGAAWTTAGTTGAAATTTTAACAAGGAAGAAGCATGGGTTTTTCCGTCCAAGATGTGGACACTTGTAGCGTGAAGAGTTATCAAGCATTTGAACTATTTCATTCCTAGTGATATAACTCTCCTCTAAATCACCAATTCACCTCTTCATTTACCACTGTCTATGGTGGTGTTTGGTAGTGTGGCCATTTTCTCAAGAAATACTGCCATGTCAGCTAGGGATGCAGCTTGGGTGGGCTTGGGTTGGGCATTTGTTAAAATTTGAATGGGCCCATGGTCATTTTCTCAAGAAACAATGCCATGTCAGCTAGGGAAGCAACTTGGGTGTGCCCAGGTTGGGCATTTGTTAAAATTTGAATGGGCCCAGCCTGAAGGCCTGGGCCCAAAGTAGTGTAAAATGAAAGTCTAATTCTCAATTGAAATTAAATTTCTGTAGAAAGTCAGCCTGGTTGCAATACAGTTTCAGAAATGAAATGTAATCCATAAACTGTTCTAACTTCCAACTTCCAAGTGGAACTTCATTGAGGATATACTTGTCATGGTATATGAATCGCTATGTTGGTAAGCATGGTAGGCAACTCAAACCACTAAAGATGCATTCATGTCAAACTCAACTTGGCAAAGATTAGACCTATGATCTTATTGTTATCATTTCTGTCATGGAAGCTTCTAAATTCCACAAATGATCAGACCTTATCAGGTGCGCAGTAAGACATGCAGAGTGAAAGATATTGTTGAATATGCATGGAAATGAGGTCGTCTTTTTATCCTCAGATATGAAATATCCCAAGAATGTATTTACTTTCCATGACTATTAACATATTAGTTACATGAAGGTTTGGTTTCTAAATGGATTTGAAAACCTTTTTAGTTTATCCACTTCATGAATAGATGCTGGAGTTTAGGTCCCATATCCAATCCAACTCTTATTTCAACTATATGGGGTTGGTTACATGAATCCTATTTTGCCATTCCGTTCTGTTTAATATACCATATCCATTGTTAAATTATGAGCACGTAAGTCATTTTTTATTACTTTGACCCATTTCCTTTTTGGTCATGGGTAGAAGCCGAAAATGATCATATCCTGTGTAGCTGATGGTGCCAGGGCCTTTGATGCTTTGATTTCCATTTTTTAGGTAGGGATAGCTGGAGATATGACATGATACTATCTTACATGGAGCTCTGGACCTGATGGAGAAGACTTGCTTTTTTTTTTTGGCAAAAAGATGGAACTATGTTATATATTAAAAGTTACATGCTGAGATTGTTTGGAGTTATAGTGCAAAGTAAACTGACCCTTACAGGATATATAGGCAAAAAGGTGAGCTGTTTGGTTGCGCTGCCTTACAATATGTACAAATTTTATATATTCAAATGAGTCTATTAAACGCCTCAGATGACTTCTATGCAGCTGCTCAAACTACTAGGATACTCGGTCAGTGTTTGCAAATTCTCTTAGTGTTGCATTATCTGAATATACCAAAAGATGTGAGATGCCGTTGGAGAGTGCCATATGTAGACTGCCTAACAGGGCACGAATTTTGGCATCATAGCTAGTAAAGGCCCAGGAAGGTCTGCCTTCAGCGATGGTGTAATGCTCGTAGGGATGTTGGAGGGCGAACCCTCGTCCTGCATTACCTGTATTTGAATCGAAAGAGCCATTAGTAAACAAAGTGGGAAGATTATTTTGTCGTGACTGAATCTGGTAGTGTTATAGAGGCTGGGGAGATGGATGCTCCATGTGATAACTTAGTACTGAGTTTACCACTTGTATGGGATGTTTATTATCTTTCTCAAAAATCTACTTGTTCCTTGCTTTCCATATATGGTGTGTAACTACAGAAAATTTACCAAGACACATTAAAGCTTGGTGTTTACCCAAATGTGCACTTAAAGAAGTGTACCATTCATGATGATTGTGTGGAGGGGAAGATGAGATATGAGCGATGAGTTCAGACCAACCTGAGTTCCACACCATACTACACACGCAAATGGGCATTGGAAGAACAGGTGGTGAACCGTTTCTTCTTGGAGTTTGTAGAACACACATAGTTTATCTTCCTTGTTCAGCCATAAGGTGCATTTGTTTTTTTGTAAGTATCCCATCCCATTGAGTCTTCCAAAGGAAAACTTGGAATCTGAATGGCACTTTGAGCTTCCATATAAGCTTCCAATTAAAACAAGCACTTGACGTGGAAGCTCCTAATGAGGATAGAGAGTGGTATGCTGATTTGACTGTGTAAATGCCTGAAGCATTATTTATCCAGACTAGGAGGTCATTTGGTTGACTTGGTCCTGAACTTGATGCTAGGAGGGAGCTGTCCAGGTTCATTAGTCTTGAGACTCTTAGGTCCTGAACTTGATGCTAGGAGGGAGAAGAATTCAGTTAGGGGTGAGCATAGTTCGGTTGAAATCGAATAACCGAATCGAAATTTCGGTTTTAGTTTGATCGGTTCGGTTAATTCGGATTAAATGGTTCGATTTGGTTTCTAAATACGGTTTTAGTATTATCAGTTTTTGGTTTCGGTTATGATATTTAGAGTTTCGGTTAACCCAAATAATCGAACATGTAAGGGTAAATTTGTAATTATATAGGCCATTAGGCCAAAACACAAAACCCTCAAGGGCTTGAGCTTGACATGTCTCCACTCTCTAGTCTCCCTTCGCCCATCCCAGTTCCCTCTGCGCCTCTCTCTACCCACTATGTCTTCTACTTTTCACTTCTTCAGAGTTCACTCATTCATGCTTCTCTCTTCTCTTTGTTTCTGACTTAGTGACTTCTAAGTTTTTCTTCGTCTTCTCATCTCTTCAGTCTGGCACTAGTGGCAGCTGCACCACTCAGTCACTCACTTACCAGCAGCATTGGCAAGTGATATTCCAACAACTGGCAAGGCGGCGACGGTGACCTCCTGGAGTTTGAAAACCAAAGTATTTGAAGACAAATGAAAGTTTTTAGATTGCACCTAATTGGCATAATGTGTCTCATACTTGGGCTAGTATGAACAAGAGGCAATGCAAATTCATCTTCATTTTAGTATGACTGTGTTGGGAGATACCTCTTGGAGTTTGTTTTGGAAAATCAATCACCTGATCCCTAACTAAGATGTATTGTTGGTGCTTTGCCTATGGCAAAGTATATCTCCCAACGATCCTAACATGTTATACCCTTATGCAAATTGTAATCAAGAAGAGGAGACTTCTCACTTATTTTTTTCAATGTTTGGTCGTTAGAAGAGTATGGCTTGCCTCAAACCTTTCTATTTGAGTTGACCATTTTCCAGATTTGACTGTTTATGAATTGTGATTCAGGAGAGTACAATCCACTGATTCAGGAAGAAATAATCAAATAATGGCGAAATTCGTTTCTAACCGAATAAACTGAAATAACTGAAAAAAAATTTCAGTTCAGTTTGATTGGTTTAGGTGAAGTTCGGTTTTGGAATATACCATACCGGTTTTATGAAATTTGGTTTGTTCGGTTCGGTTTGGTTTTTAACCGAACAAACCAAATGCACAGCCCTAAATTCAGTGACGTAATGTTACCTAGCAGAGATGGAATCCATGGATCTGAGATAGCAGAGACCTTCGTGCCATCCTTGATCGATCACAACATATTAGGATGCAGTACTAAAAGTAATTGATGAGCTTGTTGCCACCACTGTGAGCTCTGCTTGCCCTTCTTTGCCACAAACAAGGATGTGTAGGGAAAGTATTTAGCCTTAATTTGCGTGCTCCAAAGCCCTCGTCTCTCTGTTAACAATCTCCAAACTTTTTTATCGAACATTGCTTAGTTCATGGCACTCAATGATCTGAAACCTAACCCTCGCCTTTTGGGTTGGCATAATTTATTCCATGAAATGGTATGATAGAAGGTTTTCGAGGATTGACCCCACCAAAAGGTTCTAGTCATTTTATCAAGTTTGGATGTTATGGACTTGGGGAGAATTGAGGTTGACATGGAATAAGTTGGAATTGCTTGGAGAACCGATTTAACTAGGGTGGTACAGCTGGCTTGTGATAAAAGTTTAGAGGTCCAAGAGCAAATCTTTGATTGTACTTTATTAATGATTTCTTTGTGAGAGCTACCTAGTCGTATGTTTGTCCCCACTTGAGCTCCAAGGTATTTAGTTCCTGTTAATGGCTTTTTGACATGAAGAGCATGAGAGAGGAACTTGCGATGTTGGCAGGGTACATTTCTGTTGAAGAAAATGATCGACTTGAAATAGTTGATTTTTTTACCCGACATGAGCTCAAACTTGTGTAGAATGTTGAGAAAAACTCTGACCTATGCCATGTCAGCTTTACAGAAGAGAATACAGTCATCAGCAAAGAGAAGATGTGTAATGGGTGCACTGTTCCTGCTGAGCTAGACTCCCTCAATTTGATAGGAGATTGTGGCCTGGTTCAATAGTTGTGCAAGGACATCCATACCTATGATAGATAGGTACAGTGAGATGGAGTCACCTTGCCATACACCACGATTCAATTTAAAATGGTCATGGGATTCTCATGCAATTTTGACCGAGAAGGTGGCCGTGGATATAAATTGGTATATCATGTTGCACCATTTCGTAGGAAATTCCATCTTCTAAAGAGTATGAAACAAAAATGACCAGTCCATATGATCAAACGCTTTGGACATGTCCAATTTAAGAGCTATTAAACCCTTCCCTTTTTTTTTTGGCCTTTTAGTTTATGCAGAATCTCTTTTACCAGCAAAATACGATTGGTAAGGTGATATCAGTTCTTGTAAGATAGGTTGGAGATGACAAACCATCTATTTTGTGATAATCTTGTAAATTACATTACATAGATTGATGGGACGATAGCTTGAAATATCCACTGGTTGTTTGCTCTTGGGAACAAAAACCAAGTTCGTGTTATTGATTTCTTTTGGCAGGAACTCTGAGTTGAAGAATTTCATAACCATATCAAAGACGTTTGACCCCACTAGATCCCAAAAATGTGGGTAAAAGTATGGTGTGAACCCATCCGGACCCGGGGCTTTATGTGAATGTACTTGTTTAACTACTTCTGAGAAGACTTGCTAATGATGCKGCGACTCACATACTTATATTTTTTTTCGTGGTGTAGATTCTCAAGTCCTCGTGCATGTAGTTTATCTTTGTGGCAGCTAAGCAGAAAAATGTATTTATGCTCATCTTAAAATTAATAATCCCTCTCTGTTCTTAGATATGCAATGGGTTTAATAGCGAGAAAAGTTCCACTGTTCCACATCTACTTGTGAGCCTTACAAAATTTTCAGCCTTATTTTGGTAAGTTTTGAGCTTTTGCGAACATTTCCATAGTTTCTTATTATAATTTCTTCTATGTATCTTTTGATACTTTTGTCCCTTTTGATCTTGTGATGTCAATTTTTACCCTTAAAATGGCCAAATGGTTTGCCATTTTCATCCCGACCTAAGGCTTTAGGTCCCATTTGCTTTTCGGTAAGTTATTTACTCAAGTAAATGCAATTATTTGGGTAAGTTTTTTCTGTGAAACACTTACCCGGGTAAGTACATTTATCTATGTTCTTTCATTTCCTAGGTAAATAAGGTAATGGCCATTTTAGCCATAAAAATCCATTACTAAAAGGGGCATTTTTATCCCATTCAAGTGTTAGCAACTTCCCCCTAGGTGGGAAAGTTATTTACCCACTTAGAAGATGGTCCAGGAAAATAAACTTTCCATGGTCCCCATATAAATCTGAAAAAAGAACATGAAATTCTTGATCAATGGGAACCAAAATCCCATTAACCAACTTTCCTCTCAAAATCCGAAAAAAGAATGCCCCCTTAATGCTAAGCCAGTCCAGACTGCGGAAGACCACCATTTTTGGCTGGTCTCCGGAATATAGAATCTTTACATTTTATTTTTGGAGGTCGAACAGTTTTTAGTATCTAAACCATCCAAAACATTCTGAATTGGAACTCGCAGGTAAGGACTCTCTAGACATGTACAAAGGACCATGCTAAGGAATCGGACATAAAAAAGATCTCAGCAAGGTTTTAAATTTAGGAAATTACGGTCATTACAAACCCAGATCCGAATGACCGGTGAATCTTGAATGGGGCAAACTGGTTTGGGACTAAAAACATCCCCTTAAGATCATCTTACTACCCCCTATCAGTGGGGTAAATATCAGCCAAAAAACTGAAATCCTCTCTCATTCCTACATGGGAGCCAGTATCAAGATGACACTAAAGCCAAATCATGATAAATCATCTGAGCCTAACATGTGGACCCACATAATTGGCCTATTATTACAAGGAAGAATCATAGAAAATTATTAATTAGAATTCCAATAAAACCTTTGCAACTGAACAGGTTTAATATTCAAATGAAATACTTTTAATGAGCATTGTATATAACATTTGTTTTTTTCACTCTTTCCAAATGATGAAACAATGTATGGTCTAGAAAAAAATGCAAAGTTGGTTTAGTTTTTACTAATAATTTTGTATTCTTGATCAAGTGATTTTTAAAATTCAGCTTTTTTTTTTTACATTGAACAACTTTAGTGTTCATGGATGCAAAATTTTTGCTCTCGTTTAAATGCAAGTATGTCTTGGAATCTGTGTTCGCTGCCATTATCAATACACGTACACTTTTACCATATACCTGTAAAAACCGAATTAGACTGCATAGAGTACTGAACGGGCATTTTCACTCTTCTCAAACCAAAGGAATTTCACAATTTTTGTTGAGTACTTTTTCTCAACTTTCTGTTCTCTTAAATTCTGTCAAACCAAACATAATCCAAGTTCTTGTGCTAAAGAATCACTTAACACGGGGAATGTAGCAATTTTTTACGGTGCAGCCTAGGCTATACATGTCGTTGGATGGAATCAGAAACACCTACACACCTACACACCTACAAGCCTACAATCAGTTAGTTCTGTAGCACCTAAACATGAGCACAACTCTAATGATCAAAGCAATTTAACCAAGCCGAAAACCTAAATATGGAAAGAGATCAGTGCCTCCGTTCTGAGTTTCTGACATACTGTTAAGCCCATCGGGTGAAGCAGAGCTGCAGAGGATCCACAGTACGTCCAAAACCTGCTGAAATAAGCATCTGAGACGAAAGCATGGCTATGTGTACCAAACACAGCAGACACAATATCCATAATTCCGAACAAAATAAAAAATTAAAGACATGGTGATGATATATAAATAGATAGATAGATAGATAGATAGAGAGAGAGAGAGAGAGAGATCTAATTAATCATAATTAGTCAAGATATATGCTTGATGTTTTATGCTCCACTCATGAACTTTGGAGATCTCTCAAATGATTTAAAATGTTTATGCTACAAGTAGTTAACACTAAACAGCTTCGAATCAATGTTAACCTTATGCCCAGTGGAGGTTTGTGCAGAGTTCGGCCTGTCCCAACTTACCCATTGAGAATAACAGTTTCCTACTGAAACACAAATTCGATTAGACTCGTTCTCATATAATCTCTGATGAACCGCATTAGTCAGTTGTAAGCCTGCCTTCTTCCTAGTCCTAGAGCTCCTGTCAAACAGATGCAGTTGTAAGCCTCTTCCTTCTTCCTAGAGCTCCTGTCAGGCAAACGGAGTTGTTTAATTTGCATGGTGCCGCAACAAATTGCACATGGCGATCTCTATTGGACTTCCTCTGCTTCTTCATCCCCCACCGAACTTCCACTGGGCAGGTCACGGCTAGCAAAGGCAGTGAAATAGATGAAATTTACTACTCCCAGTGCTGCAATGATGTAGTAATAGTAGTCGAGCTTGTTCCTGTTGAGATCGTGACCACCCAGCCATGCAGATCCATCATTCTTCTTGGTTGCATGGTGGACAATGTTGACTATAACCGAGCTTAGGTAGCTCGCACTGGATATGGAGAGAAAGAAGATTGAACCTGCAACAGTCCTCATGCTCTGCGGCAACTTCTTGTTTAAGAATTCCATAACTGCGATTGCAGAGAAGGCTTCTGTGAGGCCCGATAAGATGAACTGCGGCAATAGCCATGCGAGGGACATGGGCGCCACAAAGGACCTATACCTCAAGGCCACCTCCCGTCTCTTGTGCTCTGTAACCCCGGCGACCAGCATGCACAGGATTGACATCACAATGCCGGTTCTCATTTTTTGCCGCAGAGATATCCTTACTTCTTTATTGGCCATTATCCGTGAGACGGGAATCAAAAGTTGCTCATAGAAGGTTATCCATACAGAGAGCGCAAGCATTGATGTCACCCCCATTAAACCTGCAGGAATCTCCAACTTAGGTGTGATTTTCCGATTCAATTGCATTGCTTGAAGGATCCCAAATGTGTTCTGTTGGTCCATTACAATGAAGCAAGTGATTCCCGAAAACCAAACAGGAAAGATACCCAGTAAACGTTTCAACCCTTCCACTTGTTGTACGCTGCAGAGCTTCCAACCACATCTTGATTTTCCTTGGCTGTTCAATTCAGACGCGTCTATGATAACTGCTGCCTTGTCGAGGCACAGATATCGCTCTGTATGAGGGAGCCTGGTCATTGGAGTCTCGGACTCATCGTCTGAGATAGGATCATAAAGGCTGTACTGCCCGAGTGACCCGACACTGAATCTTCTCTTCCGGTAGGCAGCCACAACCACCTTCACAAGATCGGTGTAGACGCTTCCTTGTGGTTTCACGTAGTTATAAATGTGTGCACCAGCTAAGAAAACCAAGATGGAGATGGCAAGGAAGCCGGTCGGAATGGCGAGGCCTATAACCCAACTGACATTTGTCTGGATATAGACCACAACTGTGAAGGCCACGAACAGAGCGATTGTGAAGGACAGGTAGTACCAATCGTAGAAGCTTTCAAGCTCTCTTCTCCCCTGGCTTGTCGTGACATCAAACTGATCAACACCGAACGCTATGTTGCATGGTCTAATGCCTCCGGCGCCCACTGCTAGCAATCCCAGAGCAAAAAATAGGATACCCAGTTGCCATGGCTGAGCTTTGGTGCAATCACCGGTTCTTTCATTACAGGGCGGTGGTCTGAGGTGCTTTATTCCAGCAGCCAAGGTCAAAATCCCCATACCCTGTTGGAAAAGTTCATATTTAAAAACAAAATTCATTACATACCATCAGTTGTGTGTGCAAGTTTTTCTGAATGTTGGTTGTGTTGAATGGCATTCATTTTATATATAGATTAGGAATTTAGGAATGGATTAAAAATAATGGAATGAGTGATGAATGATCCATGCATGGATACTCTCATCAGGTAAATTAAAGATTAAAGAAGAAGATGGACCAATAACAGAACCAATCCAAGTTCAATTGAATTGAATGTGCAGGTCGACGTGGGAGAATGAGATTAATTAATGGTTGATCTAAATTAAGGATCGAGGAAGAAATTAATTAATTGAGAGAGAGAGAGAGAGAGAGAGGAGAGAAGTACCCACTTACCAGAAACGAAGAAAAGGAACCCAAGAGCAAAGTCCAGAACTTGCCAAAATAGGAATCGGAGACGAAAGCACCAGCCAAGGGTGCAAAGTTACAGGTCCCAAACCAAATGCTCACCACATTCACCAGATATAGGCCATCCAAATTGTATTTGCTACGAAGAAACACCGTTATATTTGCAATCAAGCTCATCGAAGCTAATTTCTCACACGTCTCATTTCCTTTGAAAAACAAGATCCACCATTAATTATTCGTGCATGTATCTCACAAATTGAAATGCTGTAAAAAGGAAAAATAAAATCAATGGCACAATATAAATAACTAGCGTTTGTAATTAGAAGAATCAATACCAATGATGTAAGGCATGGTTTTCCATCCTCCAGCATTCCTCTGGAGGGATGGCTGTTCCTGAGAAGAACATTGCCCCTTCTCCATCTCGTTTTCTCTCTTTAACCCCTCGTCTGAAACTCTCATTTTCTCTTCTCTTTTTACTCCGGATAGTTTCTCCATCTCGTTCTCCTTGATCATGCCTTGTTAAATAGGAGCCTGATCATGCCTTGTTCTAAGCCAGTCTGTAACTTTCTCTTTTTTTGGTTAAAACAGATCTGCAGCTGATTTAATTGAAAGATGAGAAAATGAATTCTGGTCTGTCAGACATGTAAACGCAAATCTAACCACTGCACGTGTTGTTATAACGATGAAGATGATTATCTAATTTTAGTTTTCTCTTTGTTTTTTCCTTTTTTTTTAAGCCAAACTACACGGTGAGGTGAGGTGAGCTGAGCTGAGCCGACTCGGTTCTTGTTAGTTTTTGGGTAAATTACAAAGACCCGCCCTCTACTATGGTCAGTGATAAAGTCCCCCTGTACTTTTTTTGCGACAAAGACTTCTTGAACTTTAGCCATTAGATAAAGACCCCTTAGCCGTTAAGTCAGATGATGGAAAGCGTTAAATTACCAAAATGCCCCACTAAGCTTTTTCTATTTTCTTTTTCTTGCCCTTTTTYTCTTAAAACCTATTTAACCTAGAAAATGGATATTTGATGGACGGAAATGGCTACAAATTACCCTATGCTCTTCTAAATATTCATTCTTCATCTTTATTTATCTCTTCTTTTCTTTCTGTCTTTCCTGTTCTTCCATCTCCCTTTGTCTGGCTTCTTCATGTCTTCCGATCTCAGCTAACCTTCGTTCTTCTTGCATCCTCTTCTTTTCCTCATAAAGCCTCCTTGTTTTCTCCTCTCTCAACCTGTCTGTATATCTCCTCTTTTCCTCCTCTTCCCACAATCTTCCCTTTTGCAGCTTTTCTCCATGATGCCTCTTCAGCCAATTGCTTTCTCTCCTTCTCTCTATGTTTCTCAAAACTTGACAACTCAATCATCTTTTTTGTCTTTCGATGTTCTTCACCCAGTCCAGAGCTAGCTTCCTGTTTGACCTGGTCCACATTAGCAACTGTCTTTGTCTGCTTAATTATGATTTTCTTGCAAGGTTGATCTCTATCTGCCTCTGTTGGTGGACGTATCACAATGGATGGCTTTTGAGGTTCTACCCGGATATCTTCATTTCGCATCTTGTTGGAAATTTTTTTCTTGCTAATCTTTGTAATAGGTTTAGTGCCAGTTTTAGCATCAGAAGTGATAGGTTTCTCAGAACTTTGCATAATCCCAAGTATTGCTTTCTCAGAAGATTTGTCAATAGGACCACATATGAGCTTCAGTGAGAGGAATTTTGCTTTTAATACCAATTTATCAGCATTTTCCGAGGTTGCTACATTAGCAACCTTTGACACAATCTTTTGTTTTAGTTTCTTCACTGCAGCTTTTTGCTAGGGCTGGGAAGACGGATCAAGAATGGTAGATTTTCCTAATACTTTTTCCAGGCTTGTGTTATTAACCTGTATTTCCAAGTCTTCTCCGTACTTAAGGGCAGTTCTTGTTGGTCTTCATGTGCCCTGGCTAGTGCATCAAAAGGTAAACAATCACCATTGTAAGTTAAAAACAACCATTCTTCATTATTTTTATGACAATGCAAAAGAATGCACCTCAATCACATACCTGACCATAACCTTTTTCTGTTTGTAGCCATTTCACCTAATTTTGATGGAGAAGACAATGAACAGTACAAAAAGGTAATTTGGACATTCAAAAAACTTTAAACACTGGGATGAATTTTTTTTTTGAAGTTAACTAACAGAATATTAACGAAAGTGAGTCTTTGTCTAACGGTTAAAGTTCAGAAGGGTCTTTATTGCAAAAAAAAAGAAAAACAAAGAGTCCGCATCCTATGAATCCACGGGTCCACGGGGAGCGTGAACCTTCCAATCCCGTGTAAACATATCATTCTAAAAAACCTGAAGCCCAAACCAACAAAATTTGACACCTAACAAGTAACATCGGTTCACTCAGTTGAACCGGGTGCTAAACCCAGGCTACCTCGTCCAGCCATTAAACCGGCGCAACAAAACCCTTTCCAGTTTCTCCTCTTATCGCAACGTTCTCAAATCACTATTTAAACTATTGCCCGTACTGAGGTCATTTTCTTTTTATTCAAGTTCAAATTTAAAGGTTATTTTGTTGCCCATCCATGATCCATCATCAGTTGTGAGGAAGAGCATTGTTTTTTTGTTCTTTTCAGGGGTTCAAGTATTCAAAACTTATGAGAGTTTTGACTTGTTGCTATCCAGAAATGAAATTGTAAAAGAAGTTGAGTTTGAATTCCAAAAATACTTAATAAGATACTTTGCCCTATTTATCTGAGCAGAACTAGAAATACAATGTTTTTCTCTAACACTTGTCGAGATTTTCTCGTTTTTTATCAGTGATAATAATCAACAATATTATTATAGAAAATAAGATAAAAGCATAGGTTTCCAGGTTGTTTCGAGTAGCACTCTTATTTACACAAGTTTAACTAGGAAAAATGAAATGTTTCATCCATTCTAATTTGATTTAACTCTCCTGTGTAGATCCGGTCTAATCAAGGGATAGACCTCCCACCATCTATTGTACAATTGTTGAAAAACAAAAATGAAGATATTAGTTTAAATGTATTGAAAGGAGGAAGAAGAAGGTTGAATGTCGCGAAGGTCTCCAGTAGAGTATAAAGCTTGGGTGAGATACAGAAAAAAGGGTTTTGTTCAAGCGAGGTAGCATTGGGTTTGGGGTCAGTGGAAGGTTAAAATAATTAATTTTTGTGTTTTAGCGCTCGCTTCAAATTCTGTTATTCCTCTGTCTGGAGGGAGTTCAACAATGTCCTACAACACATCCTCACCGTATATTGGGAATATCTCTCGGTGATGACATCATCATTTCTAATACTCATCGAATGATGACATCTCCTGTGAGGGTTCCAGATTCAGCTCCTCCATCAAGTTCAAAGGAACCAGATATGCACATTAAGTCATTAACCCACAAAGCAACCACATTCAGCCCATGTCCAACCTTTTTAGATGTTTGGGCTCCCTAGCCAAGCGCATTAACCCACAGGGATGCACAAGACACTGTTGATTGCTCTCAGGACCAGATATCTACTCAGGTTTATTGCCACAAGCCATCCAAACTTCTATTGCTTTTATGTAGTATCTAGTTGGTTAACTGGTTCCATTAAGATGAGTTAGCTCATGTTGCATTGGGTAATGTCATGTAGGGGAAATATGAATTGCATCTGTAGAAGTTCCATCCAAGAACAGATATGTATGTTTCATGCATCTTTAACAATATAACATAACCAATGGTAATTAAAGCATTTCTGATGCTGTTCAATTCAAGATGGTGCAAGAACTGAGGAGAGCAATCAAATAGTCATTGTTGATAGGGCGAAGCCAAGTTACAAGGACGAGACCGCGCTTCAAGACTTGTGGTCAAGAAAGAAGTCAGAGGCCCGAGGAGTTATCCCCGAGTAAGTACTCCAACGCTCAAGTCAGTAAGAGGTGGTGGGTGGTCGGGCCAAGCTATGAGGATGCCGGTCCGAGCTAAGTAGCAGTACTGGTCTTAGAAGTTGGATGCCTTACCTCGAGCATGGAGTGCCCTTTTATAGCCGAAGATCTGTATCCTGGTCGGATTGGGCTTTTGGGGTTGTTGAGGTRAGGTTAGCCGCCAAGGTACTCGGGATAGAGTCTCATTCCCCAGTGGAGTCGTCTTTCCTTACTCCTCCTTATCTGTAGTTGTGTTCATCCGCATGACGTGGCTGGAAGGACAAGACGGGGGGCCACAGTAATAATATAGCTCAGCCAAACTAGGGTGACGTGGCTAGGCGATGACCCGAACAATTTCTTTTGTCAATACTTTCTCCACTGCTAGTGCTAGGCAACAAAAGAAAATTTTGAAGAGTTGTTGACTCTACCAAAACAAATGGAACTATCTAGCATAACAACTTGTGAGTTTATGTCTTCTCAGTTACAATATTTTCTTACCTTAAATCAAGTTTCAATGGTGGTTGAGTAAAACTCACTATATTCATATATGTAGGTTAATTTCCGTGCTCAAAGATGTCATTGGAGAAAAACCTAGTAGCAGCCCATCATCAGAAAATGGGCTGAATCTATTTGTTTGAGGCCAGAGAGAAATTTGTTCAATCATGAGAAAATGGTTTTTGAGATGCACAACATGTAGTGGAATCATTAAATGACAATCTGCATTCGAACATCAGGTTGTTCCCTACTAATTGCACTTAATTTTGTCATTTAAAGATACTAGATGAGGGCATCTGCACCTATATATTCACTCGAGAGATAGTGCAGTGAAAAGCGAATATCCAAGAGTTAAACTTCTAAAAGAACGTATTTAGGCCCCGTTTGCTTTTCGGTAAGTTATTTATCCAAGTAAATGCACTTACCCAGGTAAATGCTTTCTATCCAGGAAATATGTTCTTTTATTTTTCAGGTAAGTAATATAATGACCATTTTAGTCATAAAAATTTCATTATCAAAAGGGGCATTCTTGTCCCATCCAAGTGTTGGCAACTTTCCCAATATGGGAAAGTTAATTTATCCACTAAGGAGATGGGTATCACCCATTAAAATAAACTTTCTCTGGTCCCCACATAAATCTGAAAAAAAAAAACATAAGTTTCTTGGCCCCCTCTCAAAAATCCCAAAGACGAACGCCCCCTTAAAGTGTTTCATACAGTTATAAGCATTTACTTTGATCAATGGAAAGAATTTTCTATTTTTACATTTGTTTTAGTAGTGGGGTGTCTCTGCACAATCACTCTAATGGTCCATTTGATTGCCGAGAAATAGTGGGATGAGAAAAGAAATTTTATTTTCTCATTTTAGCATCATATGTTTGGTTGCTGAGACCAATTATTCTACAAAATTTGTTTTCTAGTGTTTGATTGTTGAGACAATTTTGCAAGATGCTTGATTTCATTCCTCTTCAACCATTAACAACGGTGAAACATGAACACCTATGGTTGTCTCCTATATTCCCCTTCAACCATTATCGATGATGATGGCAGAAGTTTAGCAAGGTTTAGATCTGCAATAATAAATCATTCTACTTAGTAGCAGAGGTTCAATGATAACAAATATGCAATAGAGGTTTTAGCATATCTGCAATGATGGTGATGGCCAAGAAATCAGGGATGCCTAAGAAATCTAACCAATATATCATGAAAAAATTACAAACTTGTTAGATCTACAACGATGAGAACAGAGGTTTAACCAGATCTACCAATATTTGGTTGTCGAAAGGCTAAGAAATCATGAATGGGAATAAAAGCAATGAAGTTTTAGAGAAAAAATACAAAAAAAAAAAAAAGTTTACTAGAGAGAAATGGAGCATGGATAGGTCTTACCTTCATTGGAGATTAAGAACAGTGATTGGACTCTTTGGCGCTTGGGGTTCTAAAGCTTAGCTAGGAGGAAAAACAGTGAGGTTTTTGAGGAAAAAAAATACAAAAAGAAAAAAGTTCAATGAAAGAAAACGGAGGAGATTCCATGTCTTAACTTCATCAGAGATGAATCACCCTATTGATAGGGTTTGAAGCTCGACTAGAAAGATAACCGGTAATGAATTTTCAGAGAAAAAAATACAAAATGTCTAAAAAATGTGAAACGGAGATGGAGATGGTGAACGGAGGTCTTAGATTCGTTAGAGGTGAAGAAAACAATGGTTGGAGATTTGATCGTAGGGACATGTGAATGGAGATGTCGCCTTCGACATTTTTTTCTCACTAACTTCTCATTGTTTTCATTTCTCAGCGGGGTCGCACCTATCTAGTGTGACCCCGCATCTCTACTTTTGAGATGTAAGTTCTCATCCCATCCCATTGTTTCGACCTCTCTACTTTTGGGGTGTAAGTTCTCATCCCATCCCATTGTTTAGACCAAAACAAACGAGAGAAAATAGGAATCTTAGGCTCTGTTTGGTTTTTGGGATGGGAAGGAAAAATATAGAATATTTTGGAATATTCCTCCCCTCCCATGTTTGGTTTGTGGGATGTCATGAGATGGGATGGGAAAAATGTGGGATTATAGATCCCAATTCTTGGGATGTAGAGTCCCCCATTTTCGTAGGAAACAAGTGGGAATGTAGGGGGAAAACTTATTTAACCTAGAAAACACCTTTCTTGTAGTATTTCTAAGAATTAATATTAGATTCATGACCCATAAATAAAATATTAATTATTTAATAATATATTAATAAATATTTAATTATTTTTCAAATAAAAATATTAAAATTATTAATGAAATAAAATGTAAACTAATAAAATTAAAATATTAATTAATGTTATTAATTACTGATTAATATCAAAATAATATTTAACCATAAAATAATCAATCACAAAAGTATTATTAATTAATTAATTAATAATTAACAGTAAAATATTTAGTAATTCATTAATTATTTTATAATTAACAAATTAATTAAAATAAATAATTTAGTAATGATAAATGACTTAATAATTTATGAATAATTAATACTAAAATTATTAATTAAGTCATGGATATTAGTAAAATATAGTAATAATAATAACTTATAAACTAATAAAATGTAAAATATTAATTAATTAAAATAATTAAATAACTAATTATATACTTTAAATAATTAATATCATGATAAAAATTATTATTATTAAGTAATTAATAATTAAAAAAGTAGTTAATAATTAATTAACTAAGTAATTAATGAATAAATAGATAATGATTTCATTATTAATATAATTAATTATTCAGTAAAATTAATTAAGTAATAAAAATGTTAAATATTGAAAGTAATTAATAATAGAAAATATTGATTAATTCGTAGTAAATATTAATTCTTAATTAATAATTAATTAGATAATTGTCAATATTAATTAATTACGAAATTATTTAAATAAAATATTAATAATTAGTAGTAGTAGTAAAATATAAAATAATAAAAATATTACTAATTAATTAATAATTTTTACTATGATTAATTTTTCCACTATTTTTCTCTGTTGCAACCAAACAATGGAACATTAAAATTTTCCACCCATTTTCCCATCCCATTCTTTCCAATCCCACCAAAATCTTCCCACAAACTAAAGACAGCATTATGCCAATATTACTATTTTCTCATCCCGGTCACAATAGCCAAACATACCATAAGTGTGAATCACACGATTTGAGATTCACAAACTGCACGCGATTCTACTCTCCCCGAACATTGTTCAATCAACACAATTTCATCACAATCTCTATCCGTCTCCCTTGGTGAAAAAAAAGTCCAATCAACACAATTTCGTCAAAGAAAATTGATCATTACAAAGTTCCAGATTTCAAAAGCATTCAAATCACGACAAGAAATTGCTAACACATTTCTAATTCCAGTTTCTTGAACTCCTCGACGCCTGTCTGTTTCAAGTGCAGTTGATTCTGCAAAAGCAATAAAGACCGTATGATCCGCTTGGATTGGAAGAAGGAAAAAAATGAGACAACAGTTGCAAACAAAATACGAATATGCAATTTCTGTTGCCACCACCTTCACTATCTTTCATTCCTTTCTTTTCTTTTTCTCAGCCCATCTCTCTTTTTTTCATAACCTTTTATCCTAATATTTTAATCTAAGGCCTCGTTTGTTTTTCGGTAAGTTATTTATCCGAATAATTTAAAAAAGACTTATCCGGATAAGTTTTTTTTAAAATTATTTTTTTATATAAATAAGGTAATGACCATTTTAGAAAGTTAGTTTTTGGCTTTTTTTACTTGAGATTTTTGGTTATGAGACTGCTTGTTAAATTTTGCTTTAAAAGCATGCTTTTCAAATTAAAAGCCAAAAATGGATGTTTGAAAACATTAAACCACTAAACTACTTTTGGACTTGTATAGACATGTATATTGGCCAAGTTAAATCTGTCTAGCCAATATAATTGTCTCCATCCCTGCTTAACATTATATCTGTCTAACCAATATTAAATCTATAAATAACAAAAATTAAAACTACTACTATATGCACCTCATATATAATCAATGTAACAAGCAATAAGAATAGGGTCAATGGGTCGAATCGAACAGGTCACATCAATTTTAGTTTTTGAGTTTTGTCTCGTTGGGTTGGGTCGATTCTGGTAATAATTTGTTCATCTCAATTAGGGATGTTCATCCAACACCAAAAATCGAAAACCTAAACTGAACCAATAAAAAGTCTGATTAACTGAACTGGTCAATTGGATTTTAATTTGCTAATTTTGAAAAATCAAATACACCATTCAATTTTGGTTAACCAATGTGTACTTGAGAGGGATCTTGTATTGTACAAGTGTATAGAGATTCAGAGTTCAGACGCAACCTGCACCCCCAGCCCTAGGGGCCGGAGAATCAAGAATCCGGATTCGGGCATGGTTAACAAAATTCAGACGCCTGAACCCGAAAGATAGATATCAAAGGAACGAGGTGCCGCAGAATAGGCATCAATTCAATGCCGCCCCAGGACACCACTGACGAGTGACGACTCTGTTTTACCCGCGCTATCAATAATAACAAAATCAGGATCGGCTAATAACAAACAATCTATACCTGACAACGAGAATACAAACATTGTAACAGGCGACACCGCTTCATTTGTAATTGCGCTTTGGAGTTTTCAGGTGAAGGAGTGAGAGAGTGGGTTTGGTTCTTTCCTTCCCTCCCCATCCTTGTAATATTCGATTATACATCAAGACGTTCATCTTTTGGAAAAGAGCTCCAACTGTTTGCCGAAATGCGGAAAAGATGGTTTCGTTCATTACAGCTTCCAATTACTTCGTTTCGTTGCCTCTTTTCGTTGTAAGTCGCCCTCACTTCCCCTCCCTGGTTTTCTTGATTCATCCAAGAAGACGGCTATCTGCTTCTTCTGGTATTCTCGTCGCTAAGAAGAGCACGCCTTTAGGGACTTCTTGTCCGGCAAGTACGACTTTATTGAGCCCGGTTCTTTTCTTGCGGAAGACCTCTTCCTCTGGTTCGCTTCGGATGTGCAAGGGTTGGGAGAGCGAAGGAGACCCAGCTCTGGAGGCTGAGATTCTGGATTTCATGGAGAAATCTGACAACCCTAACGTTTTCCCCACCAAAAAAGAGTTGATTGTCGCCGGCAGGATGGATTTGGTTCAGGCTATTGGGAAACAATGTGGTTGGCTTGCCTTAGGTTGGGATATCGATGAGGAAGAAGACACCCTCCAAGATGACGAGTTTCGAGATCCGAATTCCATGATGTCGGAAGAAGTTGACAATGGTCTAGTTCTTGGCGATGATAGACTATCTCAGCAGAGGTTTGATAATATTAGTGGTGATGAAAGAAATTCTCTTGACGGCATTGATGTAGAGAGTTCTGAGGTTTCTTCTTCGTTTACTAGCTCTTCTTGCTTGGCTTCATCATCTGATAAACCAATGTGAGGTTCATATATGGTTACTGTTTTCTTTCTGTTTTCAAATAATCTTGGTTTTCCTGGAAAGGAAATTAACTCAGATTAATCCTTTTTGGTTCAGAGAAATGGAGGGTGGAGAGGATCCTGGGATTGAGGGTATCTTGAACCGGTTGGAGAAAGAGAGAAGTCTGTGTTTTGGTATTGATTCGAGGAATGAAGGAAGTAGCACCCATTTGTGGAGAAAGCAAGATAGAGATGACTGGAGACCAGAAAACTCAGTAGATATGGGTAAGTTAGGTTTACTAGTTGAAACTTACGAATTGATGGCATTTCCTTATATTAGATTTTTAGATAACATGAATGAATGACTTGTGAGCTGTGTAGTGTGAATGTGAGAGACATGTCTGTGCTTCCTGTTTTTTCTTTTATATGGTATCAACCATCAAACGCTGTGATATTGGATTTTAGAGTTTTATATTTGCAAGTTGAGACGTGGCTTACTTGATTTTATTGGTAATTGTGGCTCATGCATTCATCATCATCATCTGTGCCTTATCCCAATTATATGGGATCAGCTACATGAATCCTGTTTTGCCAATCCATTCTATTTAAAGCCATATCCATTATTAGTGCTTAAATCATTTCTTATGACTTCTACCCATGTCCTTTTTGGCCTATCCCAAGCTCTTCTAGCCCCTTTAGTGTGTAACAAATCACTTCTTCTAACTGTCACAATTGGTGGTCTTCTATGCACGTGCCCAAACCATCTTCTAGCCCCTTTAAGCTAGTGCCATGCATCTTCATTCTTCTAAATATAAAAGATTTATATTAAAAATAAAGAAAAATGAGATCCTCCTTACTCTTCTTCCTCTTCATCCCCCTTCTCTTAAAGAGGCTTACACATCCTTGTGTTTGGGAGGCTTATGCCTCTTATGTTCTAAACTACACCTCACACTTCTAGGTAATGGAATGCCTTGCGTCACGCCTCTGCATTTTAAAACATTCATAATATTTGTTCAATTATTCTTTCCCAAAGTTTCATATTTGTGGTTCATAAGTTTAATCCTCCGATAGTTATTACAACTTTGTATATTGCCTTTGTTTTTAAATATAGGTGCCATGTTGTTTCTCCAATCATCAGACATCTTTTCTTTCACTATCTTATTCAATAGTTTGGTTAGCAATAGCAAGCCTACCCCTTCCATACCTTTCCATACTTTTATTAGAATCTCATTAGGTTCTAACGCTTTTTCCTTATTCATCTTATTTAGTGCCTCTTTTACTTTAGTAGGTTTAACCCTACAAAGGTATGCATTATTTTTAACACTACTAGTATATTTAGCTTCTCCTCCATTAGTTCCTATTGTTCATTTACTAATTTTACAAATTAGGTTTTCCATCTTTGTTTGATTTTCTCATGTTTACCAAAATTCTTTAATCTTCATCTTTAATGCACCTAACATGTAGGGTTGTCAACGGGTCGGTTCTAGGTCGAAACCAGGTAGAACTGGTCCCGGAACCAATAAGATAACCCATGGACCTGAAACTGACCTAGACCCTATAAGGTCTATGATTTTGGACCCAGAACTGAACCGATCGGTTCTTGGGACAATTGGGTCCAACCCGATGGACCCAATTATGAATTCCTTCCTTGCTTTCATATTTGCATCAGTACCTGATTCTTAAAATTTGTAATTCAAGATGTAGACCCAGACCTTGTGTGATGCATGTACTAAAAGTAGGATCGGTTCAGATCAGTCAAGAACTAGGAGGCTAATGCTTCCTGCTCACACCTAGTCATAGAAGTGATTTTTTTTTCTTGTTTCTTTTCCAATTTCTGTTCTCTTGTTTCATGGTGTTCATGGTCTTAGGCCTTCTTTCCCATATGTTTGAATATCAGAAAAATTTATAAAGAATGCAATATTCACAATAACTCCATAAACAAGATGAACACCCATTAATTCAAACGCCCATTAAAAATCCAACATGCAACATTTCAGTTTTTTTGACACTCAAAAAATAATCAACACTTTGACAATAAAAAAAATCAAAATATTTAAATGGAGGAAGATCGAAGATTTCACAATAAAAAATCAACATTTCAGACTTTCAGTTTGTCATTGATCATTGGGTAACAAAGGGAGTGGGAGTTACTACTTACTGAGTTACTGTTGACGGATGGACGGCGCTGGATGGATGAACCAGATGGTGAGGCAATGTGCTTCCAGCCGGCATGGCAGCCTCCACTCTCCTCTCCAGACAGTGAGACCACTGAGACGGACCATCCGGTAGCCTCCGATCGATGTGCTTCAAGTTTCGATTTTTGAGTGAGAGAACTGAGAAGAGATTCAATCTTAGAGAAAGAGTGACTAAGTGAAACTGTGAAAGAAGAATTCTTCAGAAAGACAAAAACAAAAAGGGTTAGCTGGTTTGCGGGGGCAGCATTTCGGTAGGGTTTTGAAAGAAACCCCACCGAAATGACACCTTTAGCCCCACCTTATTTAAATATGATATAACATAAATCATATATCTATTTAATAGTATATATAGGGTTGGGTTGGGTCCAAATAGGTTCGGGACAAGGTGGACCCAGTTCTGACCCGGTCGTAATTGGGATTTTTTAAGACATGGAAGTGACCCATCGGGACAAATTCTGGAACCAGAACCGGTCCAATCGGTCTGGGTCCATCGGGTCTATCGGGTTTGACCCGACCCATTGACAACCCTATTAACATGGTTTAAATCTCTGCCTTTCCTTTCTCTTAGCTTTGCTAGTTTATACATTCCTTTTCTCCCTCTTTAGTGCCTAATTTATGGTAAATCTCATCATAAGCCTTACATTTAACTTCATTCACTTTTTTTTAACTTCCTTTCTTATGGTTTTTTTCCCAGTTTTCTACATCTCTAGCTTTTCCCATTCTTTGTAGCGTGCTCGTTTTAATCTAATTATATTTTGAGCCTCTTGATTCCACCAAGTTTCCTTAGTACTTCACCACTTCCCTTTATATTCTCCTAAGACATCATTTGCTACTTTCTTAATTTCTTTATATTGTTTGCCATTTCAAGCCAAATATCATTAATTTTTCCATCTAAATTCCAATTCCCTTTTATTACCAATCTGTTTTTAAATTGAGAATTGCGGGTCATGCATTAAGGGACATAAATAGATTTCTATGAATTTCTTTAAAATCTAAATCTCAATATGATGTTTTTTTCTTTCCTTTTTACTTTGTAAAGAGACAGTTGCTGGATTTGAAGGATGGAGCAGATCTTCTCTAAGATCTGATAAATACTTATTCAATTATAATGAAGATATGCACACTGAAAACAGATCTTTCTCAGATTTTGATGGCATAAGAAGCTCACTTAAGCCAGATATGTGGAGAACATGGAGCACTCAACGTGCAGGAGCTTCAGATCATGTATTTGAAGGTATTCTACTTCCAAATTCCAGTGGCACTTTTAGGTTAACATCATTATTATTTGAGAAGATAACTGTTAATCATTAGATTAAAAGACGAGGGGAGATGTACATGATGGAGTGAACAGTAATGCACATTGCATTGGATTCAGTATTTCCCTCTCAAAAAACTATATGGTTTTGATGCTCTTTGAACCACTATTCGTTCAGATAACTGCAATTTATAGGTCTTCTAAGTTATTATTGTTGATGGTGTTGTCATCTTTCATAAAGAACATTTTCGTATTATTACTCATTTAATGTGCAGCTGCTGAAGTTGTTTCTGGTGAAGGTAGAGCAGAAAGAGTGATAAAAGCTATGAGCAATGAGATGCTCACAAGTGAGAAGGGTGGAAATGAGATAAGAAACTTAATGAAAGAACAGGTTTCTACTGATAAAGGAAATGAACACAATCCAATACAATCTCGCCTACTGAACTTGGAGTCAGAACTTGCTTCTGTACTCCACTTGCTGAGGTCAAATGCAGTTATCATGCCTAAGGTGGGTAGCTTGATGTTTTTGTTCATATATATTTCATAGGTATTATCTGCTATGGGTTGTTATTGTGTCTTTGAGCTATGATTTGTAGACAGCATATCCCTTCCATCGGTACCTACACTTGATAGGAACAACTAACAGTTATTTCAATTAATAAAATGTATYCATTTCCTAAGCTATCTCCCTATAGTAACTTACTTCTGATCCTTTAAATATGCTATGTTAGTTCTGACTTGTCACAGTTATTGGAAAGTTTAGTCCAAGTCATGTTTTGTTACTACCTAACTTATCATTTCCATGATGATTGTGATGAAAGTTGTGTATTTGTATCTGTATCAAAGTGGCTTGCTTATCATGATTTAGTAGGCTTTTAGTAGTATGAGCAATGTTTTAAAAGGAGTGCCTAAGCTCACAGGCTACACCTCATCTTGCACCTTAGGCTTTGGGAAAGCGGGAACCCCTTTGTGCTTCTTGGTTTATAGGACGCACTAACTCAGTACGAGCACGAAACCATATTTTGTTAAAGAGGACCTGAACTTTTCTAGCTTTAAGTTCTTTACGTCTTCCTCTTTTTCTCTCCTTAGATAAACAAATAGATACAGTGGACTTTGAGAACTAGAAGTAGTAAAAGTCAATTGCAACATGCTTGATTAGTTCTTTCTGGTTGGGGCTCACAAATACTTCAAAAGGAATAAATTTTCTGGACATCTATCAGGCCTTTGTATGTGGTTTTTATGGAGCTCATTAAGAGAGAAGAGTGTATGCCTGCTATCTGTTTAGGATGGACACTGGATAGGACTCCGATTGAGGTATTTCCAAGTTTTAGAAAATGCCTTTATGGTACAGTGAAGAACTGAACTTAAAAGTTCAGTTTTTGTTGCTTTTATAATAGGTGTGTGTCAAGGAGGTTGTGGCTTGTAATATAGTTATTTTTCTTGTTACTCTGTCGAAAATGGTATAATGTTTTTGTCTTAATGTTGCAATTTGATCTTATTTATTGGTGATAGAAAATAGATATCTATTGCCCCATCCCATCAGCTCAAACACAGAAAATGCAGAATGTATAATGATTCAATAGAAGCAGGTTTGGACTTGAAGGTGATTTATTAAATCCTACTAAACATTCTTCCACAGGGCCATGAAAGCTCATCAGAGGAGTTACAAAGGCTTTCTGATGCTTGGGAGTTCCAGGAAACTGAAATTATGAAGACCCAAGACAAACTGCGGGCAACACATGCAAAACTGGTAGTGTTGGAAGGAAAGATGGCAATGAAGATTATGTATGTCTACTGCAATTTGAGCCATTCACCTTTATGCTTGCTTTATCCGTTATCCAACCTTTCCTTTTCATTGGCCCTGGCATACTTGTCTTTTTGCAGAGAAGCACAAAAGATGGTAGAAGAGAAACAGAAGAGAATTGATGATGCCCAAAATGCTTTGCGCCTTCTCAGGACTGCCTGCATAGTGTGGCCTAATTCAGCCTCGGAGGTTCTCTTAGCTGGATCTTTTGATGGTTGGGCCAGTCAGGTTTGACCCCTCACTCTAATAATGATTCTTAGATTTTATTCTAGTTAAGATATATATTCTCTTTGACCAGATCAATTGTACTACGTACTACACATGGTATCCTGAATAGGCATGTGGAATAATAATAGTGGTCAATCTTTAGTAGATGATACACATCATATAGCCTTCTCACACCAGAGATAAAATTCTTCTGACATGAACTCCACTTAACTCTCTGAACAATGGAAATGTTAGTGTGGCTCCCTAGTCACCTAGGGAACTAGCCAAAAGTTATTTCTTTGTATTATAAAATTCTTATCGGCAAGGTGACTAGGTGCCCCAATGTGCCTATAATTGCCTAGGCGGGCACCTAGTCGCCTAGTTGCTACAAGTCAAGGTGTTTGGGCGAGGCGCCCAGCCAAAGGCGCCTAAACGACGCCTTGACAATTTTAAGTTTTCTGTCCATTCCAAATCATACTGATGGACACCACAAGAAGGCAAGCACTAATCATATAGATATTTCTGTTGGCATAACAAGGAAAGGTTTGTGTAATCAAAAGTTGAGAAGTTGATGTAGTTGCTTGCAAGTCACCTGATGTTCCCCTTGGGAAACACATGTTTCTCATTGCTTGGTGCAATGTTTTCAAAACCAGACTGGACCGGACGGTTGGACCGGAAAAACCGGGAACCAGTCCGTTTAACCCCAAAACCACTTTTTGGCCAAAAACCATTGATTTGGTCAGCGAACCGCTGACCCGGGTGGTTGGACTGTTGAACCGTTTGATCTGGGAACGGTTTTGGCCGTTTTTTGGGTTTTTTTAAACTTTTTTAAATTTTCTATTTTTCTGTCAGAGTGGGCTGTCCATTCGGACCGGACGGTCGGACCGTTTGACCTAGGAACTGGACCCCAGAACAGTTCCCTGTCCGGTCCGATTTTAAAAACCTTGGCTTGGTGTTTTTGCTTATAGCAGTTTATTCATTGGTTGTAGTATACCCATTTTATTTCACAACTTCCTTTCAATGACATGAAAATGTTAAAATTAACCTTATGAATTTTCATATTTCTGGTGCATGTAAAAACTAAGGAGCCTTTTATACCAGCTGAATTGACTGAACTTAATATCTATATAGGATCATTTATTGAACAAGCAACTTATCCCCTAAACGTTTCATTGTGTAGCCATTTTATCCACTAAATTTCAAACCGACATGCAAATGATTAAGTAGTTATCAAGGCACTCCCAACTCAGGTTTTCAACTGTTTCTCTGTTCTTATATTTACTTTTTTGTTTCAGGTGTATTGTTTCTTTTTTATTTTTATTTCGTCTATGTTTGTGTGGTGGGGTGGGGCAGGGGTTGGAAAAGCAACCAGGTTGGTAAATACCAATTAATGAATTGGGCAGAGGAACCCTAAAGAGAATTACTAAATGTCGTCCTTACAAGTCAATTTGTTCTTTATTTTCCCCCTTCTATAACATTTTCTGATTAACCTTGCGTGTAAGCTTACTATTTTATATCTTTGGTTTACTTACATATCATGCGACTTTTGTGGTGCATTGACAGAGAAAGATGGAGAAGTCAAGCACTGGAATATTTTCATTGTGCTTAAAGTTGTATCCAGGTAGATATGAGGTGGGTTATCATCTTTCACCTTCATGAACGTTGCTCTCTTGTAATGTAAATAAATACTAAGATCTGGTGCTTACAGATCAAGTTTATTGTGGATGGGGTGTGGACAGTGGATCCCCTGCGACCCATTGTAAAGAACAATGGCTACGAAAATAATCTTCTCATCATCACATAAAATCAAATTGAGTACTCGTTGATGCCCGTGATAGTGGCTTCCTCGTCAGCTCATAACGGTATGCATCAGAGGTTGTAACCGACGCTAGTTTCATCATTGCTTCAAAGTACAGAAACAAGTATATGATGTAACAGATTTTTCTTCTGTTTCCTTCTTTTTTTTCCCCCCTTGTCGATCCCATCATCCCAATTAGTGAAGTGATTCTTTTATTTTTTGTGGCAATGCATACTCATGCCGCCTGTAATGGTCATTGCAGCTCTGGGCGATTATTTTTTTCTTTCTTTTTCATTTTGTTTTTTTCCCCACTGTAAGTTTCCTAATTGCTGCTCTTGGTGATTATCCTATTCATCAAATGAAGAGATAATTCAATTAGCCCAGTGGTCAACTCTGATTGGAAACATCCCTGTTCTGAGTTATATTATCCTTCTAACAAGAAGCTCTGGATCCTCATCTGGCCAAACATTTCAGTGTTTTTTTGCTAGTAATTGCCAAAAGAAATGTATTGGCGTAAATTCCACGTGGTCGTGTCCATGCGAGTCGAATACATTACAAGCAGCAACTACTTTCAGAAAAAAGTCGATCCAACAAACTAACCAAGACGACCACACGTTTGTCCAGTGTTGAGCCGTAAGGAAGAGCTCAAGAAATAAATTAAACACTGCAATATGGTAGTGATATCTGATATCTGTCAAGGATCAGAGTTTCAATATTCAATACGTAATGGTTTTCAGGGTGTGCGATACATGAAAAGCTACGAGTTTGAGAGAATGAACATTGTGCCTGCTATTGGCTGACCTTTTACTCTAAAGGATCAAAGGCACAAAAAGGAAAAAAAAAAGGAAGGGTCCCACCTCAGTGATGATAACGATGTAAGAGCTGCAAAGACAGCGTGGGACAATGAGCTGGAAGCTTGGGTCAATGATGATAACGATGGGAGGTTGCGATATCGGTAGATTAGGAAGTGTACCAGGTTTGACTATTAATCCTTCTACTGGCTTGAACATTTGACATCCGATTGAAACAAATAAAATTGACTAAAATAGAGAATGACGGTAGTATTTGGCTACTGCTACCTCAACTGATTACCGATGGTGAAATGGTGGAAAGAAATGGAGAATAAAAGGGGTTCGGCTGGTCATTGTTATTCTATAGAGAATGGCCGGTGCTGCAAACAATGATGTGAAATGGGGTGTTTAAGACAAGGTTTTCAAACCACCTTTGTTGAACCATTCGGCTCAGGAAACGTTCAGGTCCGTTTTACCTCAAACCTAGTATTTGCTCAAAAACCATTGAAAAAATCAACAAATCATTGGCTCGGGCAGTCAAACTGTTGACCCATTGATCCATTCAACACTTTTGACCTTTTTATTTTTTAATTTATTTGTCAGAACGAGCCATCCGTTTGAACTGGACGGTCAGACCGTAGACCTAAAAAAAAGTGACTAGAATGATTCCGTTTCCAGGTCATTTTTTAAAACGTTGGTATAGGATGCCATCAACGAGCTCCAATGACTCCAAATCCCACGCAAGTATTTGCATTTTTTTTCTTCAAAACACAAAGGGAGGTTTTTATTAAAGTCAAAAACACCGGGGGGGAGGCTTATAAAATTGTCAGACAACCCAGGGGAGGGCTTTATATTTTGCCCATTCCATTAATTATAACTCCAATCTTGATGGAGCGAGCATAGGCCAGCTGATTATAGGAAGTTTGAACAGCATTTTCAATTTCAGTTGACCAGGTAGCCCATATAAAATAATCAACCACAGGCCCTTCCAAATAACCGAAGTAGCAGAAGTGACCACCCTTGGAGTTGGAGTTACGACAACAGAATTCTGTAGGCATATGTAAACCCGCTTCCACAGTAAACACGGAATCGGTTGTGACCATCACTTAGTTTTACCATCTGAGGGCTGGTTTGATCAAACGTATTCCCCAATCCCAATTGCCCATGCTCACCCCAGCCCCATGTCATTACCACTCCATTCTCTGCAAATACCGAGTGCTAAATTCATACAAACGGAATCAACATGTCTACCCATCAATTTATATATAAACATACGATGCCGGGAGTGACTTGCCTGTTACTAGAACGGAGTGCTCTGCTCCTGCTGCAATTTCTAAGACCCTTGTCCCGTCAAGACCACAGACCTTAGCCAGAATGAGTCCCATAGAATCTTCTGAAACATAAAACCAGTTAAATACGTTGGAATAAAACACAATTGAATGAAATAAAGAAAACAATTGATGGTTCTTGGCTGCATGAAGCCCTATGGGTGTCTTCTTTCCTCTTTTAGAACCAACGGGTCAGATCGGATGCAAGTATTAGGACAAGCTAGGGTACTTCATTATCTGGTCTGTTCAGCTCAACCAACCTTCCCAGGGAGATAGGTAACTAGCAATTACTTAGCTAAAATAAAAAATAAGAATCTTAGAACTTATACTTTTCCTTTTAATTTGTAATGGACTCAAGTATCATTGCATGAATAGAGATTAGAGACTACTAACTCAGTACCAGAGCATGTGTATCACTTGGTGGCAAGTGAAGAAAGACAGCATTGCAAGTCACCATCTACATGTTTCCATCTCATTGTAAGTGAAAATAGTTTTACTAGATGAACCGGTGACTCGATAACCCAGTGAACTTTCTGGATCCTGGTTATTTGATGGCCTTTTATGGTCTAAACAATCAAACAAGGTGTTTAACCAGAAAACCATGATCCAGTGAGCGTTTCCAGTTTTCTGTGCAGACCGTCTGACAACATTGAGTGAAAGAACTCACAATCAATTTGTATTCCTTTCATCCTTTGCTAATGGTCACATAATATAAATAACTATACACTTTTGCTCATGTAGATGTGCTATTTTTTTCTCCTACAGAATTCATCTATCATTTCTGAAATCTATATTAGTTCTTTAGATCCCATCCCTCTTAGTTGGAAAGTCATTGAATTGTGACATCACAGACCTGGATCCAAAAACCATCTTCACCCACTAACCTAGAGGATTGTTCAGCACACTAGCTCAAACTCAAAGTACAGAACCAGTTTCCATCTATATATAGATAAAGATAGTACTATTGACCATACGCATGGGCTACTTTCCAAACTCTTGCACAGCTTTTTTTTTTGTCATTGACAAGTGATTGAGCTTATGATTTAGAAGGATTATGATCATCAGAGCAGCTTTATTTTTGACTAGACATTCTAGTTTAGAATTCTTCAAGTGATCATTTCAGATCCTATGTAATATCTCCTGATATTTTATCTATAGCAGTGTTTTAAAAGGCGTGGGAGGCGTATGCCTGGAGGTGCTCGCCCCTAAAACGCCCTGAGGTGTATGCCAGAGGCGCTGACACCTCTGAGGCGTATGCCTCTTGTGCTTTTTTCATGAGGCGTATGCCTCATGCACATCTGATATAAAAAGACAAAAAAAACAAAAGAAAAAAAAAAGAAAAGGAAAGGAAAGGAAAAGAAAGGGAAGGGAAAGAAAAAGAAAGAGAAGAAAAAAAGAGAAAAGGAAAGGAAAGGGAAGGGAAGAAAAGATAAGGGGAAAGAAAGTGGTTTGCCCCCTGCCCCTTCGCCCCCCAGACCCCCGCTCCC